CGGCATCCTGGAAGCGGCACTCACCCAGGGAACGCTCGTGGCCGGTGCATCGCACATCACTCATGTGGATGGGCCCCAGGCCTGAAGCAGAGGCCGGGTTAGTGCTCCCTGCTCCATGTCCATCCTGGAGCAGGGAGTTCTCCCACTCGCTTTACCCCTGATCTGGGGATTCCCTATGACCACGGGGATGCCCGTGGCAGGAGAAGCGAGGGGAGCCCTGTCCTAGCGCAGGCTGGAGCTGCCTGGACATCCCAGGATGCGCCAGCAGCACTCAGTAAACCGGGGCTCTCCCCACAGTGTCACTCCAAGCCCAGCGATGCCCTGAGTCCCTGCCGCACCATCTACCTCACCTTGGCCCATCTGGGCTCCTGCCAGGGCCTGCTTCGCCGTCCCATAGCCCAGCTGCCGGCACACCACGCTGGCCGCGGCCAGGTCCCACTGCTTGTCACACACGGTGCCCCACTGCCCATGGCGCAGCACCTCCACCCGTCCCTCACCGGCGTGGGTGCCTGCTCGCAGCCGCACTGGCATCACCTGGGCATGGGGAGCAGCTGGTCAGTGGCCCCAGGGGAGGGCCACCTGTCTGCACCATGGGCACGGGTGCAAACGGCGTGGCCGGGTGTTGCCCGGCTCTGAGACCCTCCATCAGCAGGCTGGGGCATGGGGCCATGCTGGGGCTCACCTTTCCTGGGGAGGTCTTGCTCCTGCCCTTGCCTGTGCCCTTCTGGAAGGCAGGGCCAGGGAGGCAGCTGACGATGGCGTGCATGCCATGGGGACAGGCGGGCTGGTGGGGGGCCAGTGGGGCCACCTGCGTGGGGCAGAGGGCCAGGTGGGGCTCCACACCCTGGCACCGCACCCTGTGGACCCAGAAGCTGTTCTTCTGGCTGAGGTTCTTCAGGCTGCAGAGGGAGAGGAGCAGGAGCTGGTGTCAGTTCAGGAGCCGGAGTCAGCTCAGGAGCTGGAGACTCTCCCCAACCCAATGCCTGTGCTGGGCGCCCACCCAGGGCTCCCCTGCCTGCCCTGCCCAGGGCTCAGCCCTACCTGGAGTTGGGGTCCTTCAGCTTCATGTTCCAGAGCTTCCTGTGGGTGCACAGAGACAGGAGGTTGAGGGGGGCGGGGCTGTGCCAACCCTGCAGGGCTCCAGACTCCTCACCCCATCATCCCTGCCCCTCACAGCACTTCCTGGCAGGACCTGGAGCCATGGGTCCTCCCACAGCATGGCAGCGTGAGGACAGGTCCTCTCCCCACCGGCAATTACCGTGCCAAGCCCGGCTGTGCCATGTGTCCCAGCGGCACTGTGTGACTCCTGGCACCCACAGGGGCTCATTATGGGCTGTATTTATAGCCCCAGCTTGAGGGGGGGTGAAGGGGCTGAGGGCTGCTTGCCTCTCCTCTCCTTCCACCCACACTTTGCTGGCCATGGCTGGTGACTTCCTACCACCCCGGCTGCTACTGAGACCAGATCTGCCCCTCCTTGAGGCCCCAAGAATGGGACCCAGGCACGACCAGGACATACCAGCATCCTTCCCCCAACACTCCCCGGTATCCTGGCCAGCCAGCCACCCTGCCCCACGTGCCCCACGGCTCTCTCCCACATCCCTACCGGTAGAAGCTGGTGTTGACGTGCTTCTCTTGGGGGAAGCCCAGCATCCCGCAGACCACACGGCTGTTGTCATCGCACCCCTGCCTCCAGCGCCCGTTGTGCTTCACCTCCACGGCACCCTCTGTCACTGGCACACTCAGCTTGGCCCGTGCCAGGACGGGTTTGAGCCGAACCTCCTCCAGGCTCAGCCTCGGGACCTGCCGCAGGGGGCACAGGGGTGGGCAGGGGGACTCCAGCATCGAGGGCAAGGTGTGCAGGATGGGGAAAAGATGAAGGGTCAGAGGGACCTGTCCCAGCACCCCCCATCCATCCTGCTGGGCACTCACCTCTCCCAGGTGACCAGAGGTGGTGGCCTGGTGGGGGGCACCGGGCAGGCGCTGTTCAGAACACACCACACCGGCATCCTCGCCATGGTGGCAGTCACTGGTGCCCCAGCCG